TTAGAGGGTGTTATTCTAATCCAGCATTTACGGTAGATGTATTTGATTTTAATTCTTTGTGTTACTGTTAAAATACTCACCTAAGGGTAGTGCTGATTCCCCGAATTTCTCCAGGTCAATTTGTGTCTCAAGTTGCGAAGAACTTCTTTCGGACCATTTGCGAAGAGATCGAAAACCGAAGTCACCGCCTTAGACACAATGATGATATCTTATCCATATCTAAACGCAGAATATAGATTATTCAATTTTGAGTAAAGCTTTTTAAGTAATAAGTAAATTTCACTGCAAAACGAAGTTGGTCAAATGTGCATGCGTGCGGATTAGACTTGCTTAACGAGACAGAAAAAAACCCGGGGCCTGCTACTCCAGGCGCTTTATCTAGCCTCCAGAGTATCGGATTCCAATAAATTTTTTTATTTAAGATTTTAAGCTACTTAATGATATTTATCACTTATATTTTTCTTTTGAAAAAATGGGTCAGAAACTTTATCGAGACTTAACGAGACAATTCCTCGTTATCTCGTTAAGGATTGTCTCGTTAAGTCTCGATAAGGTTTATTCATTTTTTCAAAAGAAAAATATTAGTGATGGGTATCATTAGATAGCTTAGAGACTTGGCTTTTAAAAAGAAGTTCATTGGAATCCAATACTCTGGAGGCTAGATCAAGCGCCTGGAGATGCGCGATTCATTTGTCTCGTTAACACTCGTTAGCCAAGTCTAGTGCGGATAGTACAGTTTCAGATCGAATTCGACGGATTATCCGAAAGAAGTTTTTGAGCTTCGGATTCAGATTGGATTACTATATTTATCAATCAATAACCATAACAACTATGCTACCTTAGGCATAGCTTTATATCTAGCTTTGGCTAAGCACTTGTCCGTTAGTTTAAAGGTAAAAATTCTAAAGCTTTACCCATTTTGCACAACGAACAGCACGATGAAAAGCTAAGAACAAATTCAAATAATAAAAGAGGGATTTTACCGAATCTCATCAATTTTCTCCACTTCATTTGTGTGGGTTCAAACTTGTTGCAGCCTGCTTTGTGATTACTTCAACCAGCCTTCAAAGCATTATCGAAACAAAGCAGTTTCTAAATCAAAAAATAGAAAGTTGTTCGTTTTCATAGTGAGAATCTGAGAAAATTTGTCGAAAAGAATGAATCATTCATCTTTTGATCTCTTTTGAACTTTCTCTTTTGAATGATCTCTTTTAAACTTTGCTACTGTGAAAAAGAAATCGAATTGTGCTTAGAGCAAGCTATAGTGATTTTAGAAATCATTTGAAGTTAAACAAAATAGATTTTGATTTTAGAAATTATTAAACAAAACTCTTTTAAAAATTACAAATCGATTGTTGCTTAACGAAGATTGGTCTTCGTTAAACATCTATTTTTTCAATCGAAATGTTTAGTTTAAAGTATTAATTACAATTTCTGTTGCTCAAAACGTTCAAAAAGGACTCGAGCATTGCAGAGGATCGAACGAAGAACCCCCCTCTTTGGCGCCGGACTGACAAACAGCGCCTTAAACCACTCGCTCACGCTCAAGGGGTAATCGAGAAACCGCGTTTTTACAAAGAATGTCTCGTCTAACCCACAAAACTAATTAGATTTTTGGAAACTGCATAAAATTTTGCATATAGTAGTCAAACTATCTATGGGTACGCCCCGTACTCTATTGCAAAACGTCAAAAGCTTCAAACCTTAACGTCGGGGAATTCATGTTGCTTAGATGATTCGAACGTGGCATGTGAGGCTGAAATCGAGTCTCGAGAGGTCTGATTAATCTCATTGCTAAACCCTGAATATCCATTATGGATAAGTAAACTTGTGATTACTTGGGGAGAACGCCCTGTATCTTATTTCGAAAATGTAACAAGTTTGAACATTTAACGGCGGGGAATTAATGTTGCTTAGTTGATACGAGGTTGGCCTGTGAAGTCTAGACTGTTCTGATAAGTCTCATTGCTTAACCCTGAATATCCACTACGGATAAGTAAACTTGTTATTATGTAGGAGAACTAGTAGTAGTATTCTATTCTATTCTAAGCGAGTATTCTATCTCAAAACCTAAAAGCTCAAAGAATTAACGGCGGGGATTATTATTGCTGCCTAGATGATATGAACTTGGTATGTGAGGCTGGTGTCAAGTTGTCCTTGTAACAAGTGAAGTTATAACTTTGAAAAACTGAAGACTTTATGACTTATAGTCCGGCAATTTACTTCACTTGGCTGATACATCGACAAGACAATTCTTTGGCTGTACAAAGAACTTTTTCACCGATGGACTCTATTTCTTTCATACTTGTGTCACGGCTGTTGGACAAGGGATCTTGAATGTAAGCTTATAAATCTTATCAAATAACAATGAGTTTCAGTTTAATGGTGGTCAAAACACGGGTCTTCCCGCTCCAATGTTTGTCATTTATCTGGGCTTATTTCTCTATTTGAGAACATATTTAAAAATTGTTGACAAAAGCAGTTCGGATATGTTTCGAGAGAAGAGAAAGATTTGGTAGCTTTGGTATCTGATTTTGATATCTCCAGATTACTGCAACATGCTATCTCTTCTTACAAAAGCAATTTCAGGGCAGCATCATCTGCTTCTTCCTTGAATTGCAAACTCTCTCATTTATGTTATTCTCAAAGATCCCCGTTTCTGGAATGGGTTCTTTCTACTTGACTTTTCTGCAAAATATCATTTCAATTTTAAACAATTGTGCCAGGTATAAGAATCTTGAATAATTTGTAAAATTTTCTAACTTTCAGTCCTGCGATTTATTTCACTGGCAACAGGGACATTCGATCGTATGCTTTCGAGTTTTGGTTGTATTGATCGATAGAAAACTCGAGGAGAAATTCAAAAGTAGTGAGCTCGATGATTCAATACTAATAAATATGAGATAAACTTGTAACTTGTAAACCTTTAGCATTTTATTTTATAACATTTTATAATCGCATTGGAAACGAAGTCAAATCAAAATCGGTTTGCTGAACTTGAAATGTCTTTGCTTGAGTTTCTTTGATTGATTGAAGTAACGACTGAATTTGTCCACCGGCATTTGGTAACTTGCTGAGATGCTGAAACTTTTGATGTACCTCAATCGGAGTCATCACTTTTTCTTTTTCATTTAAATGCAAGGTTTGCAGCATGTTTCTTTGAAGTTGATACTCGTACAAGCTCTTTTCGTAGGCCTCGATTCTTCTCTGATTTCCTTTGCCTATTCTTAGCAGTAATTGCTCGTCGTGACTTGCATTCAGAAGGCTCTCTTCCACCAAATCATTCATCGTAACCATTGCTTCTTTCTAAATTCAAGAGTCGATTTAGAATTCTAAATTCTAACTTTACTTATTTAGGACAAATAATATTTTATATTGTTTAAACTTCGAATTTTTTTCGCAAAACTGACCTGTAGAAATAACATAAACTGGGCGATTGCTTGCAAAATTTCTTTCCTTTCCAGCTCCAATTTGGAAATTTCCTGATCTAGGCTCTCATTGATTAGCTCCTTTTGACCTTTATGATGCATGACTTCATTAAGGACTTCACGCGACTGTCGATCTTCGTATGGCATTTCCACCCAAACTGGATAATGATACCACAAGCTGTGAGACGAACGTGAGCATCCACACGCCTCACATATTACATCGCGCGGTTGAATGTCATAATCTGTAGAGTTCCAATCATTTTGATAAAAAGCTGGTGCAACAATCGTTGATGAAAAGGCTTTCTCCAATGCCAAATGGCATTTGTTGCTTGGCGGGTGCTTATTGTCTAATTGCATGTTATTTTGACATCCTTTTGAATTACATACATGTATGGGTGGATTTAGATTTTTCGATTGTTTTTCGCTCCTCCACTGCACTAACCTCTTGGTAAAATTTTTTTCCGTTTGCTTTAAGCCTCTTATTGAATCGATTCCCTTCGTGCGTTCCTCTATGTCGAGCAAAAGTTGAGAGCTGATCTCGGCCAATGGCTTATACAAAGTCAAGACGACCCTTCGAGCGCTATTCAGCGTGATGCTTTCTTTGACTGAATGTGGCGACAATGTAGATATATGCTTTAATAAACGATCGATTTCCTTTTTGTTTTGTTCCCAACTATCGTGACAATACTCAATGATGCTTTCGGAGAGAGTGAAGCCGCTCTGTCGTGCCGCCATGCAGCGGAAAGCGTCGCTCTCAAAACAATAAAGGCTCTTTGTGGTGGTGTCAATTGCGAGCCCCTTTTTCTAAAAATTTTATATAATTAGTGTTCTGTATATACTTTCTGTTTACAGTATCATAAAATTTGGCTCTATTAAAATTTCCTTCTTGCCACTATTCAGTAGCAGCTAGTTAAGAAAGTTAGGAATGATGAAATTCAAACTTATGGTATTTTTTTGAAAATTACAATCCCAATTACCGTAAATGCTGCCTTAGAACGACATGATCTACATTTAAAATAGAATTTTTGAATTTACATTCAAAATTGGTATCCAAGCTGGGCAGCTATGCAACGTTTAAAATTCCTTTTCAAAAGCTTATTCTTTTCATTTTCACGCCAAACATTTAGTACATTTCAGTCATGAACAAAAGTCTTTACCCCTACCGAAATCAGCTTTTAAAACGCGAAATTTTTCAACAAGCTTTAAAATTTGTTTCAAAAGTATTTTGTAGCATTTTTACTCTAGTTTCATATCCCATAACCAAAAGAAGTAACAATTTATTTCAAGCAACAAACAACGACGTTAACAAAAAAACCCTCAAAATGGGTGGACAAAAGTCTTTACCCCTTTTTAGCAGCTTTTTATTTTCTTGCTCTTGTTTCATCATTTTTCACATAACAATGTTTTATTATCTTTTCATTTCGGTGATGCCTGGGGCCTATCTGAACACTCTCCCAAAGAAAGATTGCAAGAAGCGCAAAAACGACTGGAGCTCTTCACCGAGAATTTAAAACAAGTCGTTCACCCTCACATTCACAACAAAAGAAGATAAGGCTTTAATTTTGGCCCACAAAAAGGATCTTAATGTTTCCGATGGAGTCATATTGGTCAAACAGCAATTTAACAAGGATATCAATCGAAAGACAGTGAGCAGACGTTTGATTCATGCAGGACTTATTACAAGATGGGCCGCCAAGAAGCCTTTGATGGTCCCCAAACTCGGAAGATCGGACTCGACTTCGCCAAAAAAAGTACGAAAGTTGGACGAGCAACAACTGGGTCAATATCATCTTCACCGATGAATCTAGGATCAACCTTTTCAATCCCGATGACAATCATTTGACCCGGAGACCTGTCGGTATAACACCAAATACCTTCGTCTTACAGCCAAATTTGGTGGAGGATCAATCGTGTTGTGGGGTAAGAAACTTCGATTTTTATGCCTATTGATTTTGTGTTTTTAGGAGCGTTTACCAGAAGTTCACCAGGTCCGCTCGTTCTTCTCAATTAAACCTTGGACGCTCAACGATATCAGGCAATTTTGGAGAACGATCTGCTTCCATTTGCGACCACAAATATTGGACAAGGATGGCTGCTGTACCAGGACAATGCTCCATGCTACAAGTTGCAACTGCTAATGGGACGAGTTTATCGCCTTACCAATGGTGGTAGAGCTCGTCTACCCGGATGGTTTTGATCGAATAGAGTCCAGATTAAAACTGCTCCTCCCTACAGCCAGAGTTGAACGTTATCCAACATTTCTCGGTGTTTTCAAAGTCAAAATTGAAGGGAAAGCGCTTCAATAGCTAGATTGAGCTATGGTGCATCGTTCGACACCTCTGAATAAATATCGATCCTTAAATTCTACATGATTTGGTCGACTCGATGCCGAGAAGGATTCAAGCGGCAATTTCATCAAAAGCAGATCCTATAAAATAAAATATTGAAATCATTGCTTCTTTCTCACTTTTTGTTGTAAGGGTGAAGACTTTTGTCCACCTATTTTGAGGGTTTTTTTGTTAACGTCGTTGTTTGTTGCTTGAAATAAATTGTTACTTCTTTTGGTTATGGGATATGAAACTAGAGTAAAAATGCTACAAAATACTTGTGAAACAATTTTTAGAGCTTGTTAAAAAGTAGAGAAATTTCGCGTTTTAAAAGCCGATTTTGGTAGGGGTAAAGACTGACTAGGATGCTAGTACATGTTCATGACTCTATCTCTCGCCCTTTTTGTTGCGATTAGATTTCAATAGATTATTCTTTTTAAAAATGAGATCAATCGACGAGAGATTCCTCGATGGATTTGAAGAATTTTGAGCTCAACGGGAAAGAGATGAACAAGAAGAATTCTTCAAGAACAGGATGATTTTCTTTTTGTCTTGTACGTTGGCAAAATTTCTTTTGTATCTTTGCGACATTTGAAAAACCAACAATTATCAGTTCATTTTTGCGGCTGATGAGACAGGGGTTTGGATCGATGCATCCGGAAGCAAGTGTATCGATGAAAAGGGAGCCAAAGAAATCGAAGTATTGGCTATGGAATATGACAAGGTGCGCATTTCGATAATGTTGAGTGCCAGGTCGGATGGTAAAAGCTCAAGCCATATGTCCTCCTTCTATGGAAACACGTGGATTCGAAGATCACCTTATCCAATGCTTTAAGCCAGAAGAAGCAACTCCAACAGGCTGCTTAGGTAGTTTTGTTGCAGTTTATTTGTTTCTGTTTTTAGGACTTGCCAAATGAAAGGATGTTTGTTTGAATCAAGAAATCGCAGAGTTGTTGCAAAGATTGGATACTCGTGATTAAGATGCAGACGAGGAAAGAGATGACTTGAATCTTTTCAATTTTGATAATCCGCTAGATTTTATAGGCTAAATTATAACCTTTTCATTTGTTAAAGTTGCTGTTTTTAATAAAATACTTATTGAATGAAATAGGCTTTTTTGAAATGGATATTATTTTTTGTGATCGGCAGTGGCGATTCGGATGAAAAATAGAATGGTACCCTCTAATAGAATGACACCCTAGGCGGGGAATTGAAAATAGAAAGACATGTCGTTCTAATACGGCATTTACGGTATCTATGCCTTAATGAATACCTGGAAATTAGCTCTACAACTCACTTCCAAATCGCTCAAAAATTCCCGAAGTGTCGTGAGACTTTCACCCGGCTCATAGAAAGTTTGTCTCGTATTCGTGAAACAGAACACAATATTTTTAGCAGCTGACACACTAAGATTTGCGAGCAGTTCATTGATGCAATACTTAAAGGGAATGTTCATACGACTGTTGTTTGACTTCAACAGGATACAGATACCATGTATTTCTTCGAGGTTTCCAATGAAATCCAGAATGTTTTGGAAGTTTTCGGCATCTCGCAATGGGCCTGCCGTATCACCCATTCCCGGGGTGTCGATTATTTGAATTACTTGATCATCTGCTTTAATAAGATAAGATTTTGTATGTTTTGTGAGAGATTCTCCATTTTTATAGCTTTCCAGCTCTTTCTCGCTAACATTACCAATGAGAATTCGCTGATTTTTGAGTCGGAAATGTGAGGGGATAGCGTGAAGAATGACATTTTCGATCGCCGCTCCAAAACTTTCATACGCCAACGAGTTGAGAAAAGTGTTGATAAGAGTCGATTTACCCACACCCGTCTCTCCCAATAATAGAATATTTATAAGATTTGGAGAGTTTGTTGGAGTGGTTGAGTTACTTGTTGGCAAAGTAGTTATGGGTAGCTGCGAGTCTTGTGATGGAAAGAATGTGCCTTCCTTGTAAATGTAAATTTCGGGCTTAGTCGGAGCACCAGACATTCCCTTGAGCAAATCGAGATCGATAAACGCACAAATTGTTCCATTTTTGATAAAAGACGCGAATGTTTCTCGTTGCTCACTCATCGTTTTCCATGCACCACACACAAAAATCATAGTTTTCAGAGAACCCAATCGCTTAAGGGCATTAGAATCTTCCAATAATTTCACTCCACTTTTGTGTAATTCGTCTAAGTAAACAATTTTCTCAAAAAATTCTTTTAACGAAAAATTCTCTGCTCGACGGTTTTCTCTCCTTGCCTTCTCAAGGTAATACGAAATGGATCCTTTGAGATTTTGTTCAACTAGTTCTGGTGACTCTGCCAATTCAACGACCTTATTCTCTTTTTTCATTAGAAACGGTTTGTATTTTTTGATTAACTCCTTCAGAATTTCCAAGTTCCCATTGAGTTTTTGTTTTAGTAGATTGATTTCGTCGAAATACTGAACGAACCTTGGAAAATCTTCCGCACTTGTAGGGAAAAAATTGAGTGTTCCTTGGGTTGGTAATGGAAGAGATTTTAGTGGGAATAAAATACACCGAATTGGTCGATTCCGACTATCATGACTTTGCAAAAACTTCAAACTTTTCATCTTCGAGATGGCTGCTTCGAGTTGATTCGTAGCAAACTTGGTTCCACAATGGAAATTGAGCTGCATGTTGGCAGGAATCTCGGGCAGTTCAGAATTGCTTTCACAGTGTTCACGAATTGATTTCAGCTTTTTCTAAAGCAACGACTGATTTATTGCCAAGAACCTCGCTATAAATTACCTTGAGATAGAGATTGAGCTCAAAGCACCAACTTGCAATTCATCGGAATCATTCGGTCCATCAGTGAAGCACAACTGCAGAACCGCAAGCGCTCCATACTCGATTTCTTTCACAAGATGTGTGGCATGTCGATTCGCGGGAGTGAGCCTACCTTTTCTCAGACTTTCACTTCTCACGTCCAGCTTTTCTATCTAATGGTAGGTTTTTATTTTTTCCAAACGGTTTATGTGAAATGACACCTTATATCTAATAATCTAATCAATCTTACCTTTCTGCTCACTTTATAGATCAGAAATGCCGAACTTCGAGGCTCAAAAAGAAGTCGACTCACATTTGTTGTTGGACAAATCTCCGATTGAAGACTGAGCTGAAAAGTCTTTTTAAAACATTAAATAATAAATTAATTAGTGCAAATGCTCACTGTTCAACCTAACTTGGTGAAATCTCTCGAATCTAAGTTGCGGAAATACCGAAAGTAAAAACTAACCTGTTGATCCCGATCAATTTTCAATAGCCGAGCAATGTTTGAGTTGGTTCCCTCGAAAAAGCACTCTGACTCAAAGAGAGTTTCCGTGACCTCGTGTCGGATATCTGATTTCCACGGAAACTCATCGATACCCGTATCTTTAAATGCATCGTACAATTGGCCAATTTTTAAGGAGCTCGTGAAATCCCAACGGTGAATCTTTGGATTTGGATCATTTTGTGATGAATCAACAATCTCCGGAATCACCATTCTCTAGAATTGGTAAAAGTAAAACAATAAAACAAGCATAATGTTTTCAAAAATTTATAAAAAATAAAATGACAGAATAATTCAGCGCTAAATAAAAGCTTTCAAAAACACTGCAATTTTCGGACGCAAGGAAATTTTTTTTGATTGGTGACCGAACGAAAAATAATTGTTATCTTTTTACTTGCCAATTTTTCCGTGCATGACCCAATTTGTTTGTTTTGAGGAGCCAAACGGCTTTTCACCCAAATAATAGAAATTTCTTGCGCCAGGAAAAAAATTATTGAACAAGAATTTTCTTCGCGAAACTGAAATCTCTCAAAAGCTTTTATATTTTTTTTTAAATTTTCTATATTTTAAGTCTTATTAGCCATTTTAGAAATATCTTCGGCTCTTGCATAGTTTTCGGGTATTTTTAAAGGGTCCTCACTCTTTGAAAGCCTAAAACTTTATCCAGAGATTATATTTTTGTTAACTTTTTAGATCATTGTACAGAGAAAATTTCAGACTCTTAAATGATATCAAAAAGAGCTTGATTGGATAATCCGGTCCAAGAAGATCAGAGCCAACTCTGAACAAGTCGGGTGTCGCCTGGTTTGCATGGGGGCAAAATATCCAGTCATGCTCTATCGTATTTTCCCTAATAGTAGTGCACCCTGAGCGTTGCCTAAATTGCTCGAAATCTCAAAAAGCGCTTATTAGAAGCTATCGATGTGAGGTCGGAAAATGTAGCTGACGATGTGATCTTGTGGGGGGATTAGAGTGGTGAGCTTCTGCGAAAACTTGGAAACCATAAAATAGTCATCAACTCGGCTGGACCGGGTGCACTACTATTAGAGAAAATACGGTATTTGGTATCATTTGGAAGCCTGGAATTTTCTCTGTACAATGATATAAAAAGTTCACAAAAATATAAACCGTGAACAAAGTTATAGGCGTGACGACCCGTTCAAAATACCCGAAAACTACGCAAGAGCATATCTTCTATATTAATTTCCACAAAGTTCCATTTTTTTATTTGTACATTTCTCGTTGTCAAACTATGTCAACTGTCACAGATTTCTGATTGATCATAAAGTTTAAAAACGAAATTCAGATGCACGAAGAAGCGGACCATATCGATGAGGCGTTGAACATTCTTCTCCTTGGTGAGACCGGTGTTGGCAAGTCGACATGGATCAATGCGACTGCAAATTATCTCACTTTCGAGAATCTCGAAGAAGCCGCCGAAAGCGAAACCGTTTGTCTAATCCCAACAAGATTTGCCATTGCCGATGAAGACCGTAAGCAACATGTGGTTGAATTTGGAGAATTCACAAATGAGTCGTCGAATGTCGGCGAGTCAGCCACTCAAACGGCACTAGCTCATGTCTTTAATACACCACAGGGAAAAATTCGAATCATTGACACTCCTGGAATTGGGGATACGAAGGGGCCCGATCAAGATAAAAAGAACTTAGAAAACGTGCTTCGTTACATTGCTCAACTCAAGAAACTTCATGGGATATGTATCTTGATCAAACCAAACGAATCCCGCTTGACTCCTGCTTTCCGTTATCGAATAAACGAACTCTTAACACATTTGAGTCGGAGTGCGTCAAGAAACATTGTTTTCTGTTTCACGAATGCTCGTGGAACCTTTTTTGAGCCGGGTGACACACTTTGCATCTTGGAGAAGTTCTTAGAAGATTTGAAAAATGAAAACGGAGTCGATATTCAAGCAAATGATGACACAATGTTTTGTCTGGACAACGAGGCTTTCCGTTTCTTGATTGCGGCCAAGCAAGGCATTAAATTTCCTGAAAAACACCTCAAAGTGTACAGGTATGCTAGTTAAAGTTAGTTTAAGCACAATTTTACGTAGAGCTTTAGGATAATCTCAAAATAGTAGTACATTGACTAATTTATTTCTAAACCAAAAGAGTTGTAAATGTATAATAATAATAAATAATAACACATGTATAATAAAACTGTAATTTTTAGAGAGAGCTGGAAAGAATCGCAATCAGCGACGAGGCGATTGTTCAATCAAGTTTTACGCTTCATTCCACATCAACTCCAAGACACAGTCTCTATCAACAATGCTCGTCGACTGATTCTAACTTTGGCCAAACCACTTGCGGACATTATGAACAATATCCAATTGAATCGGGATCTTTTGAAAGCTAAACAAGAAGAACTCACAAGACATAAAGGAACACGAGAAGATTTGTTGAATAAAGTGAAAATTGTACACTTGGGAATTGAAGTGAAATCCCTGAAACATCCGCGAACAGTGTGTACCTCTCCCAATCACGTGGATACGGTAAAGATCACCGATTCGCCAGCTATGCAAACGATTTATAAAACCCATTGTCATGCTCGATGCTACCTTACCAATGTGGTCAAGGAAACAGTGCCCGAGCCCGCTTTACAACGTTGTGCTGCCATGTCTGGATGGCTTTTCATTAATTGTACTCATTGTGGATGCAAGTGGAGCCAACATATGCACATATATTTTGAGCAAAAGCAGGTCGGTTCAAAAGTCAAAATATCTAGTCTCACTACAGCAAGCTATAAGAAAGGATTCTACCTAACAGAACTCATTTAGGTATCAAAAGAAGTCGATGATCCACCTGTGAGAGAAGCTATTGAAAACAACGAACAACAGGAAGCGATAATTCGACAAGCTTTGTTATCAATCACACGTATTGAAAGTCAGTTGACAAAAGAACATGCGACAATTTTATCTTCCGGGGCCAAATTTGCAACGTTTTTGAGAGAATATGCGATCAAAACGTACAATGATGCGTTAGAGGACTACCTAAATTATGCAATCAAAGAAGAAGAGAGACTGATTGCTGCCGGGAAAACGAACGACTTTAAATTGAGAACCTACAAAGAGAATATCGAAATTTACAGAGAAGAGAAGAAAACTATCGATGAAGCCTTGAAGAAAGGAAGCAACGTGGTGATCACCGCCGATGAGGTTATGAATTTGATATCCGAACTAGAAGGACTTGCAATGAATGGAAAATCCTTTCAAGAACTTCTAAAAGCTTCAGTTATTGGAGAAAAACAGAACTTCTCCTATACCGAAAAACATTTCGATCCGGCTAAAGTGAGAAATTCCGAATGGAAAATGCTGGACTTTGTCAGCGGGGTGCTGAACTAGAGACTTCAATGGAATTGTAACTCGAAATTTCCTTTGCCTATTATTTGTGTTTCTACCCTTTTAAGCTATTTTTTACTATTGCTAATTTTAAGTGGGAATACGTTATCCCTTTTATTATGTTTGTGTACAATGTAATTCTATACAGTTTTGTTTTGACGAGTGTGCCTTTTAATATTGTAAATAAAATGTCTAAACAAGCAACTATGGAAAATGCAATCGACAAAGCAAGAGATGAAAAATATCAAGATACGAGTAAAAGAATTCCCTTACAAAATTTGGGAACTACTGTATTTCCTGGAATTAAGCCCTTTCAATTGAGAAAGACATTTTATTTCCATTTTTCTTCAAACATCATAGTCCGATTTATCCTTGTTACCAGCCGAAAAACCTTAAAATATAGAAGATTTCTTATAAAAATCTAACAGCTTTTGAGAGATTTCGGTTTCGCAAGGAAAATTTTTGCTCAATAAATTTTTTTCTGGCGCAAGAAATTTCTGTTATTTGGGTGAAAAGCCGTTTGGCTTCTCAAAACAACCAAATTGGGTGATGCACGGAAAAATTGGCAAGTAAAAAGATAAAAATTATTTTTCGTTCGGTCACCAATCAAAAAAAATTTCCTTGCGTCCGAAAATTGCAGTGTTTTTGGAAGTTTTTATCTAGCGTTGAATTATCCTGTAATTTTATTTTTTATAACTTTTTGAAAACATTATGCTTGTTTTATTGTTTCACTTTTACCAGTTTTAGAGAATGTTGACCCCCGAGCAAATTTCATCACAAAATGATCCAAATGTGTCGATTCACCGTTGGGATTTCTCGAGCTCCTTAAAAATTGGCCAATTGTACAATGCATTTAAAGATACGGCCATCGATGAGTTTCCGTGGAAATCAGACATCCGAGACGAGGTCACGGCAACTTTCTTTGAGTCAGAGTGCTTTTTCGAGGGAACCAACTCAAACATTGTTCGGCTATTGAACATTGATCGGGATCAACAGGTTATTTTTTACTTTCGGTATTTCCGCAACTTAGATTCAAAAGATTTCACCAAGCTGGGTTCAAAAGTGAGCATTTGCACTAATTACTTTATTATTTAATGTTTTAAAAAGACTTTTCAGCTCAGTCTTCAATTTGAGATTTGTCCAACAACAAATGTGGGTCGACTTCTTTTTGAGCCTCGAAGTTCGGCATTCCTGATCTATAAAGTGAGCAGAAAGGTGAGATTGATTAGATTATTAGATAAAAGGTGTAATTTCACATAAACCGTTTGGAAAAAATAAAACCTACCATTAGATAGAAAAGCTGGATGTGAGAAGTGAAGGTCTGAGAAAAGGTTGGGTCACTCCCCCGAATCGACATGCCACTCATCTTGTGAAAGAAATCGAGTATGGAGCGCTTGCGGTTCTGCAGTTGTGCTTCGCTGATGGAACGAATGGTTCCGATGAATTGCAAGTTGGTGCTTTTCTATGAGCTCAATCTCTATCTCAAGGTAATTTATAGTGTGGTTCTTGGCAATAAATCAGTCATTGCTTTAGAAAAAGCTGAGATCAATTCGTGAACACTGTGAAAGCAATTCTGAACTGCCCGAGATTCCTGACAACATGCAGTTCAATTTCCATTGTGGAACCAAGTTTGCTACGAATCAACTCGACGCAGCCATCTCGAAGATGAAAAGCTTGAAATCTTTGCAAAGTCATGATACTCAGAATCGACCAATTCGGTGTATTTTATTCCCACTAAAATCTCTTCCAATACCAACCAAAGAAATACTCAATTTTTTCCCTACAAGTGCGGAAGATTCTGCAAGGTTCGTTCAGTATTTCGAAGAAATCAATCAACTAAAACAAAAACTCAATGGGAATTTGGAAATTCTGAAGGAGTTAATCAAAAAATACAAACCGTTTCTAATGCCAAAAGAGAAGAACGTCATTGCATTGGCAGAGTCACCAAAACTAGTTGAACGAAATCTAAAAGAATCCATTTGGTTTTACCTTGTCAATGCAAGGAGGGAAAACCACCAAGAAGAGAATTTTTTGTTAAAAGAATTCTTTGAGAAAATTGTTTATTTAGACGAGTTACACAAAAGTGGAGTGAAATTATTGGAAGATTCTAATGCCCTTAAGCGATTGGGTTCTCTGAAAACTATGATTTTTGTGTGTGGTGCATGGAAAACGATGAGTGAGCAACGAGAAACATTCGCGTCTTTTATCAAAAATGGAACAATTTGTGCGTTTATCGATCTCGAATGTCTGGTGCTCCGACTAAGCCCGAAATTTACATTTACAAGGAAGGCACATTCTTTCCATCACAAGACTAAATCTAAATCACATAAATATTCTATTATTGGGAGAGACAGATGAGGGTAAATCGACTCTTATCAACACTTTTCTCAACTCGCTGGCGTATGAAAGTTTTGAAGTGGCAATCGAAAATGTGATTCTTCACGCTATCCCTTCTCTCACAAAACATATAAAATCTCATCTTATTAAAGCAGATGATCAAGTAATTCAAATAATCGACACCCCGGGAATGGGTGATACGGCAGGCCCATTGCGAGATGCCGAAAACTTCCAAAACATTCTCGATTTCATCGGAAACCTCGATGAAATTCTTGGTATCTGTATCCTGTTGAAATCGAACTACAGTCGTATGAACGTTACCTTCAGGTATTGCATCAATGAATTGCTCGCAAATCTTAGTGTGTCAGCTGCTAAAAATATTGTTTTCTGTTTCACGAATACGAGACTAACTTTCTACGAGCCGGGTGAAAGTCTCACGACACTTCGGGAATTTTTGAGCGATTTGGAAGTGAGTTGTAGAGCTAATTTCCAGGTATTCATTAAAGCATAGATACCGTAAATGCTGTATTAGAACGACATGTAGTTCTATTAGAGGGTATCATTCTATTTTTCATTCGAATCGCCACTACGGATCACAAAAAATAATATCCATTTCAAAAAAGCCTATTTCATTCAATCAGGATTTTATTAAAAACATCAATTTTAGCAAATCAAAACGTTATAATTTAGCCCATAAAATCTAGCGGAATATCAAAATTGAAAAGATTCAAGTCATCACTTTCCTCGTCTGTATCTTCAGCACGAGTATCCAATCCTTGCAACAATTCGGCGATTTCTTGATTCAAACAAGCATCATTGAATTTGGCAAGTCCTAAAAGAAGAAACAAATAAACTGCAACAAAACTAGCTAAGCATCCTGTTGGAATTGCTCCTTCTGGCTTAAAGCATTGGATGAGGTGATCTTTGGATTCACGCGTTTCCTTGGACATATGGCTTGAGCTTGAGAAATGTGCACCTTGTCATTGCTCGTAGTCAAGACTCCGACTTCTTTGGCTCCATTCTCATCGATACACTTGCTTCCGGATGCATCGATCCACTTCTGTCTCCCTATCTCATCAGCTGCAAAAGTGAACTTCTAATTATTGGTTTTTCAAATGTCGCAAAGATACAGAAGAAATGAATGAACATGAACATTAACTAGGACTCCTAGTCAGTCTTTAACCCTACCGAAATCGGCTTTTAAAACGCGAAATTTCTCTACTATTTAACAAGCTCTAAAAATTGTTTCACAAGTATTTTGTAGCATTTTTACTCTAGTTTCATATCCTATATCCAAAAGAAATAACAATTTATTTCAAGCAACAAACAACGACGTTAACAAAAAGACCCTAAAAACAGGTGGACAAAAGTCTTTACCCCTTTTTAGCAGTATTTGATTTTCTTGCTCTTGTTTGATCATTTTTCACATAACAATGTTTCTGGCCCAGTCGTTGCTCGTCCAACTTTCGTACTCTTTGGTGAAGTCGAGTCCGATCTTTCGGTGTTTGGCGACCATCAAAGGCTTCTTGTAAAAAAGTCCTGCATGAATCAAACGTCTGCTCACTGTCTTTCGATTGATATCCTTGTTAAATTGCTGTTTGATCAATATGGCTCCATCAGAAGCATTAAGATCCTTTTTGTGTGCCACGATTAATGTCTTATCTTCTCTTGTTGTTGTGACGGGTGAACGACTTGTTTTAAATTCTCGGTGAAGAGTTTCAGTCGTTTTTGCTTTCTTGCAAAGTTTTTTCACCCCTCTCGGGGCTGCATTTGAATAAGCTCGCAACATCCTTTACTTTCTCGCCTCTTTTCCTTGCTTCCACAATCTTTTCTTTGTCGAGAGTGTTCAGATAAGCCCCAGGCATCACTAAAATGAAAAGATAATAAAACATTGTTATGTGAAACATGATGAAACAAGAGCAAGAAAATAAAAAGCTGCTAAAAAGGGGTAAAGACTTTTGTCCACCTGTTTTGAGGGTTTTTTTGTTAACGTCGTTGTTTGTTGCTTGAAATAAATTGTTATTTCTTTTGGTTATGGGATATTAAACTAGAGTAAATACTTTTGAAACAATTTTTAAAGCTTGTTGAAAAGTAGAAAAATTTCGCGTTTTAAAGGCTGATTTCGGTAGGGGCAAAGACTTTTGTTCATGACTGCAAATGTAATAAATGTTTGGCGCGAAAATGAAAAGGATAAACTTTGAAAATGAATTTGAAACTATGCATAGTGCTGCCCAGTTTGGAAACAAACTTTGAATGCAAATTAAAAAATTCTATTTCAAATGTAGATAGGTGTCATCCTAATGCAGCATTTACGGTAATTGAGATTGTAATTTTCAAAAAGGCACCATAAATTTGAATTTCATCATTCCTAACAATCCTTAACTAGCTGCTACTGAATAGTGGCAAGGAGGAAATTTTAATAGAGCCAAATTTTATGATATTGTACACGGAAAGTATATAAAGAACACTAATTATAAGAAATTTTTAGAAAAAGGGGCTCGCAATTGACACCACCACAAAGAGCCTTTATTATTTTGAGAGCGAGGCTTTCCGCTGCATGTCGGCGCGACAGAGCGGCTTCACTCTCTCCGAAAGCATCATTGAGCATTGTCACGATAGTTGGGAACAAAACAAAAAGGAAATCGATCGTTTATTAAAGCATATATCTATATTGTCGCCACATTCAGTCAAAGAAAGCATCACGCTGAATAGCGCTCGAAGGGTCGTCTTGACTTTGTATAAGCCATTGGCCGAGATCAGCTCTCAACTTTTGCTCGACATAGAGGAACGCACAAATGGAACCGATTCAGTAAGAGCCTTGGCTCAATTGGAAGAAAGGTTCACCAAGAATTTAGTGCAGTGGAGAAGAGAAAAACAATTGAAAAAACTAAATGCGCCCATACATGTATGTAATTCAAAAGGATGTCAAAATAACATGCAACTAGACAATCGGCATCCGCCAAGCAACAAATGCCACTTGGCATTGGATCAAGTCTCTTTATCAACCATTGTGGCACAACCTGATGATTTGAACTTTAGAGGTTATCACATTAAAGCCTCCGATGAAATATGTGGGGCGTGTGGATGTTCACGTTCGTCTCACAGCTTGTGGCATCATTATCCAGTTTGGGTGGAAATGCCATACGAAGATCGACAGTCGCGTAAAGTCCTTGATGAAGTCATGCATCAAAAAGGTCAAAAGGAGTTAATCAATGAGAGCCTAGATCTGGAAATTTCCAAATTGGCGCTGGAAAGGAAAGAAATTTTGCAAGCAACCGCCCAGTTTATGTTATTTCTACAGGTCAGTTTTGCAAAAAAAAAGGTAGAAGTTTAAAGAATAGAAAATATTATTTGTCCTAAATAAGTAAAGTTAGAATTTAGAATTCTAAATTTACTCTTGAATTTAGAAAGAAGCAATGGTTACGATGAAAGATTTGGTGGAAGAGAGCCTTCTGAATGCAAGTCACGACGAGCAATTACTGCTAAGAATAGGCAAAGGAAATCAGAAAAGAATTGAGGCCTACGAAAAGAGTTTGTACGAGTATCAACTTGTGTCAAGTTTATGTCAAATTTATTAGTATTGAACCATCGCGCTCACTACTTTTGAATTTCTCCTCGAGCTTTCTATCGATAAGCGAAAATTGATTGTCCTGATTTCCAAACGTTTACCTAGAACGAATGTATACACTTTTATAACAAAGTTTTGCATATGATTCTTAACTTTACTCACCTTTGCAATACAACCAAAACTCGAAAGCATACGATCGAATGTCCTTGTTGCAAGTGAAATAAATCGCCGGACTGAAAATTTGAAATTTTTACAAATTTTTCAAGATTCTTATACCTGACACAATTGTTTAAAATTGAAATGATATTTTGCAGAAAAGTCAAGTAAAAAGAACCCATTCCAGAAACGGGGATCTTAGCGAATAACAAAAATGAGAGATGTTGCAATTCAAGGAAGAAGCAGATGATGCTACCCTGAAATTGCTTTTGTAAGAGGAGATAGCATGTTTGCAATAATTTGGTAATATCAAAATCAGATACGAAATTTATTGTTTATGTCAAATTTTTTGTTTATTGTTTTGTTTATGTCATTATTTATTGTTTATGACAAACTCTTCCTTCGAGTAAGATCCTAGTTGTCCTAGAAGTTTCCTAGAAGTAGTCCTAGAAGTTGTCCTAGAGGTTTTCTAGTTCTCAAAACAGGTGAGCAATTTGCTCACCCAGCTCACCTGAAAGAGAAGGCTGAACTCAAGATTCCTCTTCTCTCGAAACGCATCCGAACTGCTTTTGTCAACGATTTTTAAATATGTTCTCAAATAGAGAAATAGGCCCAGATAAATGACAAACATTGCAGCGGGAAGGCCAATGTTTTGACCACCATTAAACTGAACCTCATTGTTATTTGATAGAATTTATAAGCTTACATTCAAGATCCCTTGTCCAACAGCCGTGACACAAGTATGAAAGAAATAGAATCTCTCGGTGGAAAAGTTCTTTGTACAGCCCAAGAATTGTCTTGTCGATGTATCAGCCAAGCAATACAGATAAGTTAAAGGGATTAATCTGAATAAGTTTGAATAAGATAAGAATTGAAAGAATTAACTCACATAAAAAGTCCCTTTCTCCCAAAAAGCCATGAGTTGAGCCACTTTGAGCAGAAAACCGTCAAACGATTCACAGCCATCCAGAACGTTAGTATCATCAACGAGTTGAAGATGACGGTATCGGTGAAATTGGTGATACTGTAGATGAAGAGAACGTTCATGTCTTTGTAGACCTGAAATGGAAATGAACTGATAGAAAGCTCCGACTATGAATCGAGTTATCTACTAAGGAGCTCAACTCATATATTTTTAGCGTACATTTTGAGCAGTTAGTGTGAGAGGCACAGCGACGATGAGTTGAACAAGCAGAGAAACCCAATCACAAAAACACATATGAAGAGCCAAAACATAAAATGCGATTTGGAGAAGAGTCTGGCGTCTCTGAAGAGGCTAGGTAACTTGTGCCAGTAAAGCTCAACCTGATGATATGGGTTCAGTTCCACTTTGCATCCTTTACCCTACTCACTTGAAGGAATAGCAAAATGATAAACGTAAGGAGCACACAGTCCAATGATTGAAAGTATGGCATAGCAGATCCCAGCCAGATTAAACGGTACTCCGACTGGAGCAATGAGGACTTCTTCTGGGGGAATCGCTCATTCTAAACTTGAGAATATGAACATGTGAAATTTCAACAAGAAAAACGAAATTGGAATATTGTGGGAAAAACAATTGCGAAGAAGATTTCAGTTGCTAAATTTTGATCACTTGAGGGTGTTTTGTTGTTGCAACCCTTGGCTACTATCGGTCATTGTGGTGAAAAAGTAAAAAGCTGGTTGGAACATTTTCAGCACAGTAATTCAGTGTTCAATTTATTTCAACTTTTCAAAAAGTGTGGAACTGTAAGAATTGCAAAATAACTGAATAGCAGAATTGCAGGTGAATTGCAAGAACTGCGTGAAAAATAGCAATACGTAACTGAATCAGCGCTACTG